AAATTTTTTGTCTTTTTTTCAACTAAATTTATTAAAATTAGGGTCTAAATTTTTTTTCTTATATATATACATAAGAAATTAGGGTCAATTGTTTTTTTCAACTCAGGGTTCTTAGTTTTTTTGAGCCAGCCCTGCTGACAATGAAAGAGTGGTTATTGAAAAAAGGCTACTGCAACTGTGCAAGTTTTTATGGATGCAAAAAGGAATAATGTTGGTTTTTTTGCTAAAGGGAATAATGTTAGTTTTTATGTGTTTTTAAATTTATGCATGGGATTCTCTCGAATGTGTATCATTGTGCTTTATCGATGATTATTCTCAATATATAGACCACAAGGCACAAGCATATAGTATATGACACGCAATAATTTCCTCGTAATGATTTTGACTCACCAAGAAAGTCAATTTCTCATACGATTGATCACATAGTTATTGCCTTCACAATTTTTTTTTGTTTTGTTTTTCTTATACTCCTTCTATTTCATAAAAGTGTCATTCTATAGTTTTATTTTTGTTTTACAAAGAGTGTCATTTTACATTTTCAATGTGATTTTTACACTAATTTTCCTGATTTACCATTAACCCAAAACTACTTTTCATTGAATTTATATCATTAATCACTCATTAAATAGGGGCATACATGTATAATCTAAAATTTTTTTAATTTGTGTGAAATGTGTCAAAGTAACACTCTTTGTGAAACGGAGGGAGTATATGACAAAAAAAACCCCTCACTCTCTTATAATTATTTCCCTGCTACATAAATTATCCCATCATTTTGGCTTTATAAAATGTTCATCTAAAAGGACGTACATTTATAATTGACACAAATTATTTTTAACATATAAAATAAAATGCAAAATAGTAGTATAATACAATCAGAAAACATCAAATTAAATCAAAATGTATTCTCAAAAATTAAGACCTATGTAAAGAACTTATGTAAGCTATTTTGTACGATTTAATTTTTTGTTTATAGATATATATATATATATATATATATATTGAGGATAATGTACCAGAATAGCCGAGGAGATTAGATAGTAAGGTAGTACAGTACTATATGTTTAAATCGAGTGCCATATATTTAAGAGATGTCAACTAAAATTGAATTGAAAAAGAATTAAAAAAAAAAATGAATTCGATTGGAGATAAGACCTTTGTAGCTGTAGTAACGAGTCATGTGTCGACAACAGGATTAGTAAGTTTAATCATATAGTGAAATGAGTAATGTAAAAAAAGTGATTAAACCAATCATCCAAATTCACAAACTCCAAGATGGAGCCAGAACACGTCATAGTACTGTTACGGTGCACTGCCACACATACAATCATTTCCTCGCTTTGGGCATAACACCGTTTTGTCAGGGAATGTCTCTTCGTCGTACTCTTCAACGTAATAACCCCATTTTTATTTCATTACTATTAATTTGTCCCGCAACTTAAGAAGTGATTGAATTCCCTACATAATCTTTTTTGATTTGTTGTTCCTAAATTCAAAATCCTCACTTTTCTTCTGTCTTGGTAATATTATTCAAAATTTTGTTATTACACAATAAGTGTGTATATACTTTTGGATTAGTTAGCCCGCTAAACATGTGGCAGGTATTGTTGGTTAGCCATGGTCATTTTGGAATTCTTTAATTCTTTGAAATGTAGCGTCTGTGTGCCCAGAAAAAGCGCGGGACCTGCCTGTTTTCACGAGGGACGAGGGAGGAGGAAAGATTCTTGATGCGTCAGCACGACAAGTGGAGGAATAAGATTGGATAGGCAGCTGGTGATGATGATACATGTTGATTTTGAGGGCTTTAGGTGGTCGGGCAAGGAGGAGGCAAAACACACCCATCACCTGTCAGATTCACTTGTCCTTTTTTTGTGTGTGTTTGTGTTTTGTCTTTTAAACTAGATTTTAACACGCGGTATACCGCGGGATGATTTAATTTTAAATCTAGTATAAAAATATTTTGTAAATTGTATTTTCTTATAACATATTTATTTATATTATAGTTTAGAATTGTTATTAAATAATGATATACCACGAGTCCACGAGACAGTCCACGAGACAATTATTAATAAACGGAGGATTTAATCCGTATTAAAGTGGTATATAAATATTGATTCAAATTCGTCCTCCATATAAATTCTTTCCGAAATATAACCTGTTCCGTAATTTTCTTAACCCATCCCGTGATTTATTTTTATTTTAAAATTTAATGATTATTTATTATATATAAAAGTTTACAAATCATATCATCCTCTAAGACCACGGGACATTATACCACAAAAAATTTTTTGGTTTTATACAATCTTTTCTAAATGTGACTGATTTAATATGTCTAATATTTGTGGTATTAAAAAAAAAGATTTAATCCATATTGAAGCGGCGGATTAATGATATTTTAATCTTTTTATTATTGTTGATTGAAAAACCCGTCCGGCAAAAAACCTCATTTATTTTATTAATGTTCTTATTTATGATATGATTCTGAATCATTATCTAAATATTTTAATCGATGTAGAACGTTGAACACACATTTTCGTTAATTGGATAATATATGTCCGCTTTTAAAATTTCGAATCACAGTATATGTAGAAAAAAAAAATTGATTTTTTTTACTTTATGTATTATATGATGATTCAAAACAGTTAAAAACAAATCAAACAAAGATGATAGGAGAATCATAATTATAAATCTTAATCAAATCTTTTAAATATCTAAATTATTAAATATGGAATATCCGGTGTATGAGTTGGGTTAAATATAACCCGACCCAACAAATTTTTTGTGAAGAAATTTTAAAAACGGGTCGGATATCCGATATATCCGGAAGCATTTTTACCTACCCGTCACCAAAATGTTGCAAAAATACTAGTATAGATTAGTACTACAGTACTTAACAGTGTCACTCACTCAACAATGCGACCTTTTTAAATCTGAAACGGCGCGGCGGGAGTTCACAGCTTGTTCTTCTGGGCTTGCTAACGCAGAGAATAATGATGGGCTTTCATAAGCCCAAATGGTTCTACCCCAGCCCATAGGTGACGGACAGTAAAAAGCAAGAAGAAGGAAAGAAAGATGGGAAACTGAGTGAGATCTTGCACTCCGGGAGGGAGGAGAATGATGTTGTACCTAAGAGCGATGTGAATAGGAACACAGAGGAGACTTATTACATCTTCCATTGTTCCCCTGGACCATCCATCCTCCACCTCTTTCATTTCACCGTCGTATAATTTGATTTGATTCCATCACCTCATTTTCTATCTCATCACTTTCTTCTTCTCACTTTGTTTCACTGGAAGAAAGGCACTTGGTGGGAACAGAGATTGAAAATGGCAACCAAGCTCCACTCCCAACACTCTTGTTTTGATGGAGTCCACTGTTTTTGTCTTTTAGGATTTTGCTTCTTTACTATATCTATTAGCCTTAGACTTAGTGTTGTCGCCCGTATACGAATTCTTCAGACAAGCAGAGAAAGGCGACTAGAAAGCTCTTAGTTGTTGTAATGAATATGAAACCATAGTTGTTGTAGTGGGACAGTATTGATATAAGTAAGTTTGGGCATATTCTTTAATTCTTGGTGAGAAGTGAGAATCTTATAAATGATATTTTCTTACTTTGCCGTAGGTACACTTGGTAGCATCTCGCACGACGGACTATCAACATCCGATGATGTTTCTCAACACGCTCGCTGTATTTATAATGTGCGCTAACAAACACTAATGAGATTTGGTATGTGTATCTGCAAATCTTGAAATGGTAAATATCACAAGTTGGATAAAAGTACATAACCCAATTTTGTTGCCTTCTTGGATAAAAGAGGCCAGGGTGGGTTTGTAACGTTTGAACCGGCGGTTTAAGGTTTATTTGTTTCTAACTATATATACTGTTATGTGAAAGCCAGAAAACAAAACAAAAAAAGAAGGATGATTTGTGTGGCTGACCGAGTGTGCCATGTACATCGGTCTCTTCTTTTATGTCAGCAGAATTTTTGTTCTTGCAAATATCCAATTTAAAATGAATCTGTATTTGCTAATAATCGAGTAATTAAATAAGGTGAATTCCAAACTGAACTGTTGTTGACACTGTTCTGGTTCGGTATTAACTGCTTTATCGAAGTTGGTTAGTTGTCGAGTAATGCTTTTTTCTTTTTATATAATTGCACAACTGTTTTTGAATAACAAAATAGTTGTCGAGTAATGTTGTGAATTATAAATGTGAAATGCAAAGGAAGGAATCAAATGAGAAGTGTTGTTGGAGAGTCAATTGCAGAAGCAACTAAATCTAAGAGCTAGGTTGCCATTTGCCCACAAAGGTAACGACTTTTGGAAATGTTTAAATTGTCCATTATTTGTTCACATGTTCATCATATCTCTCTCTCTTTTTACATCACCTAAGATAAAATGGTTGTAAGCTGGATACTTTAACTAAACCAAACTCATCATCTACCACTTTACCATCATAACCCCCTCTCTCTCTCTAGTCTCTTCATTGTTTTAACACCAATTAACATGTGTTGTATTGATCTTCTGTGCGAGAGAGTAGTTGGAGGAATGATGATGGTACCAAGTCCAAGAGGAATGTTGGGGGGTGGGTCCATTTTTCTATGAGTAAAATTTTCATTTTATAGTATTTTGCATTTGAATTAAAAGTGCCTTAAGAAACTGACTGTGTTTTGTGGTCTCTCTTTCTCTTCGAAACCGGTTCAAACTCAATAATCATTTTCCCCTTTCAAGTGTTCCTAATAAATGACAAAGAAAGAATCAAAATGATTTGTTAACAAGAGTCTTTTTCTCTTCATATTCTTCACTAAAAGGGTTTTATTATTAGAATTTTGGTATGTATAAATAAGTGTACCAAAATATACACTACCATATTGAGATAACAGGCTTTATGTCTCAAAGAGGGTAATGACCATTTCTCTCTAGACCTCGGAATTTGGTACAGCAGTCTTTACACTAATATAAAGTTGTTTCGTTTGTGACACTGTATATACACCGTCAGTATATCAAGATTAATGGAAAGATGTCATAAATTTAGGTAACGAACAACTGAGATTGATTTAAAAGAGAGTCTAAATACATACAGTATCCAACCCCAACCCCAACCCCAACAAAGTTAATACTACTAATTTCTTAGAAAAGGAGGAAACCAAAGGAAAAGAACTAAAATAGTAAACACCCAGATTATATAGTTAACCCTCTCATCTTTTTAAAATTTGGATGAAAAATTTAATCTTTTCTTCTAAAAAGCTCTCTTGGGTCCATGACTATAATTATTGCCATGATCCACCACCAGACGCAGCGGCAGAAGCACCAGCACTTAACATGCCATTCCAAAACCCAACAGAATGGTCAGCTTCTCCTTCTTCTTTCTCATGATCACTATGATGATCATTAATCTCTTTCACATTGTCATTACCACCACTGTTGGTGCTTGATGATGAAACTGGAAGTTTGAGGCTCTCGAATGGCAGCAAAGGCCTTCCATTATTAGTGCCACTGGACCCCTCTTCTTGATGTAGAGGATCCCCACCATCAAGAGAGAACCCCAAAGCCGGTCTCATGAAGTCTTGAAACTGTGGGTAACTCAGACCAAACCCGGACGCTGTGTAGACCGATGAATCGTGAACATTTGGATAAGACATGAAAGCAGGGCGTGAAGAATTAGAGGAAGTAGAGATCCCTAAAAGCTCCAAAGCCGAGGAAGTTGAGACAAGTGTGTTGTTCTTCATACTGCTGCTGGGTACTACTTGCAGAAACTCTGGGATACTACTGTGACTGTGATGATGATGAGCAATCCCAAACCCTTGAGAAAACGCCAAGTTGAGATCTTTAACCTCGTGGGCGTTCCCAAACCCCTGAGAAAACGTCAAGTCTTGAACTTTAGTAGCCGCTGCTTCACCAATCTTAGGGTTAAGCTGAGGAAGAGGAGGCGGAGGCGTGTTGTTGCGGGCAAAAAGAGGTTTCTTGGAAGAAGAAGACGAAGAGGGTGAAGAGGAAGAAGATCTCTTGTTCTTGCGGACGCCACCACCGACGGGGATGTTCCTGAGGGAACCACCTGCGGTCCAATACCTCCTGCAGTCTTTACAAAAGTACCTGGGCTGCGTGAGGCTGTAGTTGTTGTAGTAACAGAACTTGGTGTTTAAAGAGTTGCATCTAGGACAGTTCAAAGCCTGGTCTTTCTCCGGTCTTGCCTTCCTTTCCACCGGAGTAGCAGTAGGAGGATGATTCGGCTGTTTTAGGCATGTGTTTGTCACGATCTCATTCATTGGCTTCACAACAAACTCCTTTTTTTTTTATTGGCAAGAACAAAAACAAAGCATACAATTATTCTCGTTTTCACTTTTTAATCCAAACCAGAATCTTTTTTTTTGTGAAGGAGGAAAGTAGTGGAAAATAAGTATACCTGAGGCCATTTAGCTGTGTCCATGGCTATGGAAATTTGAAGCTGATCAAAAACCTTGAAGAAGAAGCTATGGAGAGAGAGAGAGAGAGAAAGAAAGAAAAAAGAGAAGTGTGTGTGGAAAGTTAAAGCTGGTTTTTTTTTAAAAGTAAGAAGAAGACGAAAATAGAGAATTTAAACAATTTAATTATATTGTTTTAAAAATTGTCACTTTTTATGAAAGGAATATAGAAGATACACGTATATAGTGTGTGTGGGATTTGATGGATTCTTCGTAAGAGAGAGAAGAGAAAGGGTTTGGTCTGACTCTGACACTCTCTGAAACTATGCGCCCGCCGTCCCACGAATCTTTTTACTATTTATCTCTTTTTTTTTTTTTCTTTTCTTAATTCTAATTTTGTTTGTTCTTAATTCATATCTCTCTTCTCTAGTTTCTGTTTGTTCGTAATTCTTACCAAATCTTTAGGTTACTAGTACTGTTCCCATGTTCGATTTCTCCTTGTTACTTTGGTGAATTTGTACACTGTGTTATCCTTCATTTGAGGTATATTATATTATACAAAATCTTTTTTCTTTTTCTTTCGTTCCAATCTTCTTTACTCATAAATGGAGATGTTAGGATAGCATTTTTTTTTACTAAGGAAACTGATATTTTGCAATGTTTGTAAAATAGTATTTCCTCTGTTCCTAATAGTTCGATGTTTTGGAATTTTCACACATATTAAGAATTCAATCATTGTTTAATCATTTTAACATTGTTTTTAATCTTAAATATTTTTAATAACTATCAACCAATAGTAGTCTAAGAAAGTTAATAATTTATAATCATTACATCTTGAAATTTACAATTTACTATTATAAGTCAATAAAAATAAAGAAAAATGCTAGAAAATCAATCTTTGTGGAACAAATAATAAAAGATAGAACATCAATCTTTTAGTAACATAGGTAGTACTACTTAAGATATGAATATTATTACATTTTATAAAAAAGAGTGTATTGGTCACGTCATGACTCCCCTATCCATTGAAACATCTCTTGCTGCTTCCACTTCATTTCAACACTTATCCCTTTTTTCAACAATCTATAATTGTACGCGTTTTTTTTTATTATTATTTACAAAACGTAACAATTAGCCGAGATAATTAGTAGACGGGGATATATATTTAAGTGAAAAACATTTATATCCGCAACATGAAAACAAACTTCTCTTCCAATCATTTTCAATACAAGTGTATGTTAGTGTGTTCCATGTGATAAGATGTAGAAATTAGAAGAAAGTAGAAGAATATGAAAGTGTTGTGTTAAACAAGCAAGAGAAACGCCTCTACTGACATGGAGACCCCATACCATCTTTTATTTTTTTGGTATAAAAATAGGGTCTAGATTCAACCTCTACTTCCACTTCCAGCCGTTGATCTTTTTACTTTATTTTGATCAAACCAAAGTCTGAGTGAGGTCCGCGGAACCGGCGTTTGACGGATGAGTAGACCGGCGGCGAACGGCAGCCGTCAGATGTGGGGGGAATCACGCAGAGACTGAATCTCTTGAGAAAACGACACGTGTCTAAGGATTTGGACTCCACAGGGAAGAGCACCAAAAAGTCTATAGTAGAAGTAGTAGTGGATGTGGTGTGTGAGTCGGACCTGAGGAGAGAAACCGAATAATATTTGGTGTGATGTGTTCTTCTTCTTCTTCTTTTTGTGTTGGACGGTAGAGATTAGTCATCTTGTGGGCTCTACCTGGTTCGCCTTATTTCTCTCTCCCCGTAAGAAACGCATCCGCTCCTTCTCTTCTCTTCTCAGCCGTCCGATCTCGAGAGTGAGAGCCGACCATCTTCTTCTATTGCGATCCACCTCAGCATCTACCCCTAGGTTTTGTATTAATACCTTTTTTTTTGTATTTATGTAAACGAACACACACATTTTTCATTTTCCTTTAACGCCAAGAATTTTCACAAATGCTCTTCGAGTGTGCCCAATATAACCCCCCCCCCCCCCCCACGCAATTTATATAGTACTATAGTTTGCTATATTCACAATTCTCCTTTGAATATATGATCGATATCATTAGTATAAACACATAATAAACTAATGACTCTATTTTCTCCATATGCGACATAGTTGCATGCAAATGCTATTCATAAGTCACTTTCTGATTAAACGTGACATATATTCCTTGAATTCGATCGATTATAAAATTTCAATTTAATATAACATGACCATGTGTATGTTTTAAAAAAATCCGGTGCTATATCATCCATGATCCATGCATCGCAATGCTCAGAAAACTATATCATTATGAGTTATTTTATTTAATTTGGTCGTCCGATTAGATCTCTACTAGCTAGGGGACACATTAGTATTGAGCATCATGCATGCTGGTGGAATAAAATTTTGTTAAAAAAAAAGTTAAAACTTTCTCAAAAAAAAAAAAAAAAAATTTAGTGTGATTAAGAGTATTGATATCATATGCTTTATAGATCTGGCAAAGATTCAAATGATCCGAGTTTAACCTAATATGCATGACACATCTCACATGCATGTTAGGTGTGTTTCTCAAGTAATTAAAAACACAGAAAAATCTTTAAGAACGATCCAGATGATCGATCATCGATCGTTTACATGTAAAAAAAACTACTATAACCATCTTAAGCGCATGTTAATTAACAAGAAAAGCATAACTTACACATACAAAAATATCAATTATTATATGACAATTGTAACCGAAAATATGAAATAAATATACTAAATTACATTTATGTGAGATGGCATATGCGAATGATGTGGACATGTATAGCAACTAAATTAAGCGAAGCTAGTGTAAATGGAAACTTGCTTTGGTATCTATAGAATCCATTATTATTTAGAAATCTAGGTTTTTGGGACGAAGACAACCAATATCGTCCATTTAAAAATATGGTGACCCAAATAAAAGAAAAATTTGTAGCATTTTCTATATTTATTATTCAAAATATAAATACTATTACCTTTTTAAAATGTGTAAACAAATTTCGTAGTCCTTAAGATATAACTTAAAATAAATAAATGACTAGAATCATTTGTTAAAATATGGATCGCAGAAACATATACTTGAGCAGTTTACTTACTATTCTACAATATATAGCATGACTTATTGACCCAAATGTCCAACCAAAAAATTTCGTTTTTTTTTCTGTTCTTAAATAAAAGTTTCATTATGTATTGGTGATTTGAAATTGTAAGATTGTGTAATCTGAAGCTAATTTACGTCGAACCCCCGAGAATATAGGGCGACCCATCGTTGAGTTTTGGACCACATCCCAATCGGACAATTGGTTAGTTATTAAGTTATTATACAGTTCGTCGTCCTATAAAATATGAAATGGGCTGTTGTAGGGTCAGTGCAAATATGGAAGAAATAAAGACCTAGTGGTAGGGTTTGACCGCTTATTAGTCTTCCAACCTTAGCAGTTAGCATATGGAAAAAAAATATTGTGTAAGTTTTGTGGGCTTTTTTTTTTTTTTTTTTTTTTTTTTTTTTTTGATAACTCAGGTGATCCTAAAGGTTTTCTAGGCCCAAAGACTAATCCTGGGGTCCGGGGAAACCATATTAAATTACTCGAACCCCGGTGGCCAATGCTACTCGAACCCAGGTGGCGGGAATTACCTCCCTTTACCACTGGACCAAGGCGACTTGGTTAGTTTTGTGGGCTTTTAATTCTAACAATTGACAACAAATAGATGAATTTATATCTCATTTGTTACTTCATGTCACTTGTAATTGCTCATGTGGAATCCTAACACGTGGTCTTGTCTCATCTTCATCTCTTTGGTTGGTTAAATGGTTAGAAATTAGAATGATTCAGTTGGTAACATAACTCCGCTTCCTCAAGATAAATTATTTAGACATGGTTTTTTGTTGGGTTTCTTGACAACTGAACTTCGAGGCTACCTGAGAGCCCATTTAAGAGTTTTCACGAATGACCGATTTTTCGGAATTTAGAAAGCCCAACAATTACTTAGCTCCTTTTAAGAAAAAGCAAAGCTCAATCGACGTTCTTTTCACGTCTGTCTCTCCCACCACGAGAAACGTGATATTATGATATAGTAATGTGGAAAGTGAGGATGAGCCTCAAAACCCACGGCCATGAGGATTGAACGCACGACTGACTCTTCTTCTATGACTCCTCTCACCAATTTTTTTTTTCTTTCTATAACGATTTTGTTTTCTTCTCTTCATTTTCACATTTTATTTCCCTCTACGAGTTGCCAAAGGGATAAGAGAATATAGAGAAAAGTTGTGTTCTATTGACATTGAGAAAAAGTATATATACATCCTACACATGAAACCCTAAACATACTTAGGGAAATTAACATATTAGCCTAAGTATAATATATTTACATTATAGGTCCCTAATACTCCCCCTCAAGTTGGAGCATGAAGATTATACATGCCCAACTTGCGCCGTAAATAAGCAAATTGTTGAGAACCCAAAGCCTTAGTAAAGATATCCGCTGGTTGCTCCGTAGTGGTAAGATGCGCAGTAACCAGTGAACCATCCTGAATTTCATCCCAAATGAAGTGACAATCCTCTCAATATGCTTCGTCCGCTCATGAAAAACTGGATTGGCAGCAATATGTAAGGCTGCCTTATTGTCACAAAACAAACGCATCGCCTGCGGATGAGACACTCCAAAGCATCCTAAAAGCTCACGATTCCATTTCAACTCTCGAGTAGTAAAACTCATTGCACGATATTCAGCCTCTGCAGAAGAAAATGACACGACATCTTGTTTCTTTGTCTTCCAAGCAATCGGAGAATCACCCAACATAACAATAAATCCTGTAATCGATCTCCGAGACATGGAACATGTAGAAAAATCTGAATCACAATAAGCTGTCAATTGTAAATCATGATCAGAACTCAACACAATACCTTGACCTGGACAGCCTTTAAGATATCTGACAACCCGTATAACTGCAGCCCAATGCTTGGCACGTGGTTGTTGCATAAATTGAGCCAATATATGCACAACATAGGACAAATCTGGTCGGGTAAAAGTAAGATATACCAAACGCCCAACAAGCCTCCTATACCTCTCGACATCCTCATAGAACTCTCCTTCATCATCCGGCAACTTATGGTTTTGCTCAAGCGGAGTAGACACTGGTTGACATCCCAACAACCCACATTCACTTACAATATCCAAAGCATACTTCCTTTGCGACAAGTAAAAACCATCATGAGACCGAGATACTTCAATGCCCAAAAAATATTTAATAGCCCCCAAGTCCTTCATATGAAAAAATTCACTAAGGTATCCCTTAAACTCCTAAAAACCATTAAGATCATTTCCCCCAATCAACAAATCATCAAC